ACACGAGCTGATGACTAGAAGAGGTTGAGATATTTTTCACGCGAACAGTGGTTTCTCCATGCCGAACACTGGCTTCAAGAAACAACTGCTTTCACGGTTTAGGTCACTAAAAGAAACCTATTATGCAATGCAAATTTAATTATCAGTGTCTGAAGAGTGGTTTTAATGTCTTAGGTAATCTATTTGTGCCTTGGTAGTATAAAGACAATAGAGACAAAGCCTGTGCACAGTTTGTTATTTGGGAGTTTTGCAAAGTGGTCTTCGGAGTTTAGGAGCTTTCTTGGATTAGAGAGACTTATAAAATGACTACTAGAGCTTCATAGCATGCATCTGAGATCCATCCTGGATAGTGGGGTAATTAATCATCTTTGATTGTAGTATGTATGATGGCCTCTTAGAGAAGTACGTTTTGTTGACTAACCTAAAAATGATTTTATTCCAATAAGATGACTTAATCTGCTAAAATTATGTGCGTTTATGGTAGACCGTGATTTAAGGTCCTTGGTAAGAAGATATGGGAAAGCATGTTCGAACCGATCAAAGTTGTTTCTAATAGTGCATGTAGCCAATCTGGTTTCCTTTCGGTGCAAATCATATGTACAAAATGGATGGAACCTTAAACACATAGTTTGGAATATTTTTTTCCAGTAGAGCAATAGCACAATTCTGAAAGGAAGACATTGCAGAGAAGCTCTGTAGCATGGCAATGTTATTGTTTCAAAGGAGAAAAAGGGAACAATGCTCCTAAATATTTAATTAAAAACAACAAAAAAAAGATTTGTTCAATTATGACACAACAGTTATCTTATTATTTATAGACTCTATTAATGCTTTATATGGATCTAGTGAGTGTCATGATAATGCACAATTTCATATATTCTTTCTCAGCGTTCACATTTATATGAAAGATAGTGAAAATGATTTGCTTCACCAAACAAAACATTTGATAGAACTTAAATTCATGACCAGGCATCTTCTTGGGAAAAAAAACCCGGTATTTTACCACATGTCCAGGGTATTGCGTGACATTTTTTAAAATGCTGAGTCAGATTGAGTCAGAAACGGCTCTGAATCAGCAAAATCCTGGAATATAAAAAGCTTAGCAATATTTCTGTTTTGTGAAAAGTTAATAGAAAGATCTAAGAGAAAGTGGGTAAGTAGGTGGCGTATTTAAAGCTGCATTTTTCAATTACCTTACAGTAGCTAAACACTGAAATAATTAATAAGTGATTCAATGCTTTAGTTGTTATTTTTCTACCGGTCAGTGTAAAACGAAGACTGCGAACCTGGGGTAAAATGCAGACTGAAGACTGAGGTAAAACGTAGGCTGGGTGCAAAATGCAGACTGAGGACTGCAGACTGCGGGTAAAACGCAGACCGAGCATATACTGTACTACAGTAGTAGCAGAAGCAAAAAATACCGCAAATACATGCAAACGATAACTTACTTGACATCTGCTTTCACAAATCCATTCCTTTCTTCTCTGGAACGTCGTCGAAGACAGGAAAAATATAATCGCAACCTGGAACCTTTTTCCGTCCGAGAGACCTCACACTTAAACTTTACTAGAAGCGAAGTTTTCGTTACACGTGACCGTGAATTGCAACACTATGATGTTGACGTTTAAATAAAAGCTGCTGACCCAAAATACTGTACAGAAGAAATATTGGCGGTAAAAACAGGAGTAATTCATTCTAACAACAGAGAAAGATGTTCTGCCTGAAATGTGGATGACCTTCTATGAGAGTATTGCAAATCAAGGTACGCAGACTTTAGCTGCTCGGATGTTCATTGAAACTTCTGGCGAATATGCAATGTAATTCGACTAGGAAGCGAGGTGTTTAACTGATACCAGCATTGTAGCTATTTGGAGAAGAAGGAGCGCAAATGTTTAAACAGGCGCTGCAGTCTTCATTCTGCCTTTTGCACCCAGCCTTCGTTATTTTCTTTCAGAGGCCCGGTTCAAACGTCGAACTTTACATGTGCCGAACCTAATAATTAGGTTTGGCACATGTAAAGTTCGACGTATGAATCAATTAGGAACGGCAGTTTTGTATTTGGGTCGACTCTGCCGTTCTATTCGACTGAGCTCGTGCCGAACCAAATGCATAAATTATGTTAACGTATTTTTCAATATCCCCGTGCTTCTGATTGGCAATTTAGTGGGTTTTGGCGCCGTTTCGAACAGAACTCACCGAAGCGTAACGACGGTTACCAGCATTCACGTTGTAGATTTTTAAACTTAAACTGGACAGCTTAAAACGGTCATCTACAAAGTTGCTTTTCTTTATATCCATAAAGAAATCGTAATGTATTTTAAATATTATGGCGTTACTTTATTTTGTCCAAATGTCACGATCACGATCTCCTCAGCTATCCGATGCCATAACAGAACACAAATCACTCTAAAATCAAAAGAAGAATTTCCAGACTTGGTGAATTATCCTTTTTTTCAGTTTATTTCCCTATTTTAACCAGTAAGGATGATATTTCTTTTGCCTCGAATTAGGTTCGGCACATGTAAAGTTCGACCGTCTGAATCAACAGTCGAACTTAATAGTCTGGGTCGACCTAAATAGGTATTAGGTTCGGCACATGTAAAGTTCTGCAGTCTGCGTTTAACACTGACCGTTTTTCTACGTCAGGGACGAAGCAAAAACTTTTTTATATCGTCAGTATTATCATCACGTGTATATTAAAACCATCATGTTGGTTTCAACACGGGAAACACCTTCTCTAGGGGGGGGGGGGTGTTGGGGGGTTTCTTTTGAATATGGGGTGAAAAATTTGCTGCAACACCTCTTATAAAGTGTAAAAGGTCCCGGGGCCCCCCGGGCCCACTCCCCCCCAAAAATCCCTTAAAACCCCCCCCCCCCCCCCCCCGGGCAGTAGCTAAACAATGAATTAATTGATAAGTGATTCAGTGCTTTCAGTGCTTTAGTTGTTATTTTTCTACCGGTCAGTGTAAAACGAAGACTGCGGACCTGGGGTTAAATGCAGACTGAAGACTGAGGTAAAACGTAGGCTGGGTGCGAAATGCAGACTGAGGACTGCAGAGTGCGGGTTAAACGCACACCGAGCATACACGGTACTATAGTAGTAGCGGAAGCAAAAAAACCCGCAAATACATGTAAACGATCACTTACTTGACATCTGCTTTCACAAATCCATTCCTGTCTTCTCTGGAACGTCGTCGAAGACCGGAAAATATAATCGCAATCTTGAACCTTTTTCCATCCGAGGGACCTCACGCTTAAACTTTACTAGACGCGAAGTTTTCGTTACACGTGACCGTGAATTGGTACAACACTACGATGTTTACGCTTAAATAACAGCTGCTGACCCAAAATACTGTACAGAAGGATGTTGGCGGCAAAAAACGGGAGTAAATCATTCTAACAACAGAGAAAGATCATGAAAGATGTTCTGCAGGAAATGTGGATGACCTTCTATGAGAGTATTGCAAATCAAGGTACGCAGACTTTAGCTGTTCGGGTGTTCATTGAAACTTCTGGCGAATATGCAATGTAATTCGACTAGGAAGCGAGGTGTGTAACTGATACCAGCATTGTAGCTATTTGGAGAAGAAGGAGCGCAAATGTTTAAAAAGTCTGCAGTCCTCATTCTGCCTTTTGCACCCAGCCGTCGTTTTTTTCTTTCATGCCCGGTTCTAGCGTTGAACTTAACATGTGCCGAACCTAATTAGGTTCGGCACATGTAAAGTTCGACGTATGAATCAATTAGGAACGGCACTTTTGTATTTGGGTCGACTCTGCCGTTCTATTCGACTGAGCTTGTCGAATAGAACGGCAAAAGATCGACTTCATACGTCGAACTTCACATCTGCGAAACCTAATTCATAAATTATGTTAACGTATTTTTCAAATGACCCGCGCTTCTCCGACAAACTATCTCACTCATTTGCGTATACTGATTGGCTATTTAGTGGGTTTTGGCGCCTTTGCGAACAGAACTCGCCGAAGCGTAACGACGGTTACCAACATTCACGTTGTAGATTTTTAGACTTAAACTGGACAGCTTACTAATAAAACGGTCTTCTAAAAAGTTGCTTTTCTTTATATCCATAAAGAAATCGTAATGTATTTTAAATTTTATGGCGTTACTTTATTTTGTCCAAATGTCACGATCACGATCTGCTCAGCTATCCGATGCCATGCCAATGAACAGAACACAAATCACACTAAAATCGAAACAAGGATTTCCAGGCTTGGTGAATTATTCCTTTATTAGTTTATTTCGCTATTTTAAGCAGTAAGGATGATATTTCTTTTCGCCTCGAATTAGGTTCGGCACATGAAAAGTTCGACCGTCTGAATCAACTGTCGAACTTAATAGTTTGGGTCGACCTAAATAGGTATTAGGTTCGGCACATGTAAAGTTCTGCAGTCTACGTTTAACACTGACGGTGAGGGATGAAGCAAAAACGTTTTTTTATCGTCAGTATTATCATCACGTGTATATCGCACATTCTTTAGATTACGTCAAAATGCCTAAAGTTTGCTATTTAACTTTATCATGTTCAGAATTAACCTGCGACCGGGTGTCCTCCTTCCCTTTTTACGCCTGATCGTAGCTAATGTGTCGCAGCGAGTGCGATGCTTGGATTGGGACTACCAAGCAAATTTATCAGCAACGGGTTAGACAGTAATAAGAACGAAAAGCCAGGGCCGAGTTGTTCAAAGCTGGGTTGAGATAACCTCACGGTTAATGCGAAATTTGAATTCGATTAATAAAAGCTTAAGAGTTAAATTCAGTTTAATTCTTCTTGTTTACATTTATGATTATGTACTCTAAAAAGAATAGGGAATATTATCCGAGAAAATGCTTTTGAGCAAAAGAAAAAAAAACCCGGACTCAAATTTAACCCTGGGTTAGCGCTAATCGGTCGTCGAACAACTGGACCCTGGTGGATAACGAAAGGTATAGGTCTCATCCACACCACTGGTTGTAAAACGATGCTTTGTTTATTTTCCAAGTGAAAGTTAAAGTAGATAACGTTGATGATGGTGATGATAATGATAGAGATCAAACGTTAAAGATGATAGTGGTGATGGTAGTAGTATTGATGATGATGACGACGGTGATGTTAATCATGATGATTGTTTGTATAAAGAGGGGCTATAAATGTGTGGATTCATCATTCAATCAGAAAAAAAAAATTCAGTTTTTGTTTCAATACCACTTTTAAGTATTATCTCAAGACACAAATATTTGTGACCAATGGAAAAAATGCAAGACCAGAAAATGAATTCTATCATTTGCCGAAGCATTTCCAAGGAAAATATATTGTTTTAGGTCCTTTATAAGACACCAACCGTTTTTCCTTTTGATTTGAGTATCCTTCAGTTTTAACACTTTGCTGACTCGGTTCTTTTAATAGAATTTCTTTTGATCATTTTTTGTAGTCACTGAGACTATAATCAAAAGAGAAGTACCGTTGAGCTGAAAGGAGGGGCTCAGTATTCTCCAACGACAACGGAGCAAGCATCCTACCAGGGGGCCGAATTTCCTGCCAAAAGAGAACCTTTTGGTCAACAAACACGTTGCGAAGAACGACCGATCAGTAATGGTGTTTGTTTCAATGAAAGAGCAGTTTCCGAAAACTACCATCTACTGAAAGCTGAATATGGCCAAGTTCTGTTTGAGAGAGACCAGGCGCACAGAACTTTACAAATCGCAAATCTCCAGCGTAGATCTGTGCTTAAGCAGCGGAGAAAAAACGGAGCTTATGGTATGGATTGTTTTCCATTTTCGATAAGCGTAGTTTTTCTTCCCCATTCGTCAATTCTGATTTTGACAACTACAAACGTAGAACTGACCCCTGCACAATATTCACCACGTTTCACACTAAGAATGCACTGAAAACTCGAGGACGTCATGAAAACGGAATGTTTAGCAAGGAGTATCTATTACGCCTCGTATTTAGGCTATGATCGCAATATAACGGATAGCTTTTTGCGCCGGCTGAAAACCATACCGGATAGGGCTGCTGGTCACACATAATGTGATTTCAGTCGGCACGATTTCTTGATGTGAGGGAGCGAGCGAAGCTTGCGTCGCACCGAATTAAAGTGGACAGTCAGTCCGGACACATATCGGATACTAGTAGGCGTTTATGCTGTAACGGATATCTTTTCATGTCGGCACAAAAAGATGGGAAACTAGTTACAATTGTTATAAAGTCCTCGATACATTCGCTGGGAAGGGGGAATGCACATTGCTGTAACTTGTCTGAAACATTCACAGCAGGTCTTAAATTCTGTATACACCTACATGTATTTTGTGGGCCTTTATATTCTTCTTCAAAACGTTCCGCATGTGACTCATTGAATACAGTATTGCATCACAACTTCAGAAACTGTCCAAGGGGTTTTTGATTATTGGCGTTTGAACGTAACTGAAAGGGCTGAAATTTGGGTATTTTTGTGCCTAGTCCTAATAACATTTGCCAGCATTCATCTTTTAACTAGAGAGCGGTCTTGCTCTTTCTTAGGCAAAAAGCAGTGAATCAAGGGAAGGCTAGCTCCAAGGCCTTGTCTGGTTGCTCATTGTTACGTCACTTGAGCAAAAGTATTTCATTCATCTCGTTTGTAACTGTTTTCGTAACTCGCATGAAGTCGCTAGCACATTTTGATACAAATATTACTATTTATCTATACGTAGTTTTAGTGTCCAGGAAATTACATATTCACTAGCAGTATACGGGTGTTACAAAAACTAAGACCTAAGACCTAAGCCCCTTCTTAGTTTTCGAGATTACGAAAACTATAAGACCCCCTAAAATCGAATCCGTCGAAATATAAAGTCAAATTATCTTTTGTCCGATCCTTTCCACCGAGTTTTAGGTCAAATCTAACGGTAAATTTAGGGGTCTTAGTTTTCGTAATTTCAAAAACTAAGACCCCTATTAGTTTTCTACGAAAACTAAGACCCCCCCCCCCTCCCCCCCCCCCCAAAAAAAAAAAAAAAAAA